TTGGATTTTAATAAACTAAACGTTCACCAAAAAACTTTAGTGAGAAAAATCGAAAAAACGAACTACAAACATATTAACGCCAAACATTTGGTAGAATTTATAGAATATTGTAAATATATATATATATATATATATATATATATATATCTTAATCCAATTATATATATATACATATAGCAAAACTGTTACAAAAGATTTTTCTGACAAGATTTTGACAAAATGGCACGTAATGGGTTCTTGTGTAATTTAGATACACATTAAATAATGATTATATTACATTGATCTTTTCATTTCATTTGATTTATTTAATAATTGCAAGCAGTGCTACTACAGATTTGTAGAATGTATCTATTTGTCAATTTAATTTAATTTGTAGAAAATAATTATTTTGTAATGATTTTGCTCTTCCATTATCAAGTTGAATGGTCAATATTAAATTAAGTGTAAGTGCATATTAAAACGTTTTTTCAGATTTTTTTTCATCAAAAATAAGATTTTTTTTCAACTTTTTGAGATAAAAATTTATAATTTAGAAACCGTAAAATGTGGGAAACGAAACTGAACTTGAATAAAATTGATTTTTATTATAAAAGTTAATATCGTATTAGTAGTTAGTAGGCCAAATCAAACCACCAATCCAACCAAAACCAAATCAAATGTTGTGCAGGAGAAAAAATTAGATCTTCTCCTGATTGATTAAGCACCCTAACTTTCTCAAAATCAAGATATCCACCATATTCTTCAAAATGGAGCAACCAGATACCAACAACAGAAACACTAACAACCAAAACTCTAACAACTGGGATATTCACGATCCCAGTCTCATAGACAACCCTAACTTCATGATGAATGACGTCTGGCGGAGTGAGAACGAGCATCTACTATGTGTTATCTTTTTCAGGTTTGGGCAAATTTACATGAAAGTCGTTCCCAGGTTTATGCAGAGATTTATCGAGTTTTCTGTCCTACTTGAGGTTAGCATTAGGTAATTTATAATTATCTTTTAATTATTAACTATTATAATAATTATTATAATTGTCTGTTCTTTTTATTATTTTATAGTTGCATTACAAGATTGTATTATGTTACTTGATAATATTGTATGTTTAATAAATTTGTTATTAATTAGATCAGTAATTGTAGTGTTTTAATTTAATAATGTATGTAATTACTCCATTGTTATCCATTCATTTTTTATGATTTATTGTATCTATTCATTCATTTTTCAATCCATCATTCATCATTACAAAGTCAGCGAAAATATTAATAATTGTTTTGTGTTTTCCTTACATCAAAATTATTAATATTTTTTTTTCACTAATTTTAGGCATTGATATGCATGTGTGGCCTCTTCTACCTCCATTATAACTTCATACACAACGACCCCAACTGTTTGAACAACTTAACTTACAACAACAACAACGACAACCTAACTGACCTCACTATACTTCGAATTCAGTTCTTAAGGAGTAAAAAATTTGACTTGGCCAACACTTTGAAGAGAATTAAGTATGGTGGACTCAAAGCCGATTTAGTTCAGAATAATAATTTATTTGTAGGTTTCACTGAAAAAGATGGGGATGGGCATAATATGAGTTATTATAAGGAGCCTGCTGCTTATTATAATAACATTAATATTCATAATTATAATTATAATGAGTCTTTGGTTTGCCTTCCTGAACATTTCAATGACACTAAATATACTAAAGGTAACAGTTGTTAAATGTTGATTTGATTTTTATGCAAGAATAATTGAAATAAATTTATTCATACTTTTATACATTCATTCATTCATTCACTATCTATCCATTTATTCATTCATTCACTATCTATCCATTTATTCATCTACTCGTTCATTCATTCATCTGTTTAAAAAAATGAAATAAATTAACTATCTCTCCTTTCATTCATTAATTCATATATTCATTCATCCATTAATTAGTTCATCTATCTAGTCATTTATTCATCTCCCTATCCACCCATTCATTTGTTCATTCATCTATTCACCTGTCCATTCATTCATCCATTCATTCATTCAAAGCTTAGTTAAACATCCTAATAAGTTTAATTTAATAGGAATATTTTTTATTTTATTGCATCATATTTTGCATAATTATGTCCCACGTATCTACCTGTTATCTTCTCTTCAATTGTGCAATCATTAGGCCATCAGATCAACAGTGGTAGATCGTTTGGCCCAGAAAAAAACCATGTCAGGATGGAGGATGTTGATTGGTTTAAAACTGATCGGCTTCTCTACTCTGATTTCAGGAGGGCTTTCTATTGGTTGAATGAGATTTTGAATCTACCAATCACAGTGCCCGTCTTGTGCTACCTTGGTTTTGAAAAAATTTGTTAGATTTTATTATTGATTATATTGGTAATATGTCCGTCCGTCCATCCATCCATCTATCCACCCACTCATTTGTCTATCTATCAATTCATCTATCTATATATTTGTAGATGTTATCATTCGTTTTTAAGATACATTCATGTATTCATTCATCTATTTTTCCAGAATGTCAAAGTCAGACACAAACTTTTCAGACCTCTTCAATGAAAATTTTTCAACTTTTGCTTCGTAAATTCGTTTAAATAGTACCACAACTGACTCCCTTTCCCATTCATCTATACATCAATCCATCTCTTCATCTGTTTATCATTCATTTATTCATTCATTCATCAGTCTATCCACTAATTTCACTAACTGACAAACGAAACCAGTTACGACCAAGTCAGTATCGACGGTTGAGTATTCAAAAAAGAATGACCTACTAGCTACAGATGAAGATCTAAGAAAAAGATTAAACATAACTACTACCGATATTTTATTCGGTCGGTTGATTGCACAATTGATTGATAGATTGATGATTGAGTGAGGGAGTGAGTGAGTGAGTGATTGATTGAATCGTTCGGCTCTGCTTTTTGTTCGCTTCGTTTGGCCGGTCTGGTGATTGGCTGTTTTGTTTTAATTGGCTGGTCCTAAATAATTACACCACACCCCATAATAGACCCCATGTCTAACAAATGCCTCGGCACATCCATATTCTGCCGAGTTCTCCTCGACGAGTTTTTCGGCTTTCACGATATCATCATACTTTCACTGGAAAACTTGGATGAAAGAATTGGGGGGCCCAAAGGTATCAAAATAATATTAATTAATTATTAATAATTAATAATAATTATTATTATAATTATTGTTTCTGATAGGGTACATAAAACTAAATGACGATCCGAGGACGATAACTCGAATTCGTGACAGGAATAGTTATACGTTTTTCGACTATATGACTGCCTTACTTACTATGTACTTATTTGTAAGTTTTTTTTTATGTATGGTTGGTTGATAGATTGGTTGATAGATTGCTTAGTTTGTTGATTGATGGCCCCAGCTGGTTGATTAGTTTGTTGGTTGATTGATTGACTGACTGACTTAATGACTGATTAACCAGTGAGAGCAACCGACAAACCAACAAATTGATTAATTGATCAATCGAATGACTGATTAATGGATTAATTGATTTGTAATAGATTGATTAATGGATTGATTAATGGATTGATTGGTTGATTGTTTGATTTATTTATTTATTTCGTTTGACAACCCCAGCTGCTTTTCTCATCCTTTCTTCTTAAGTTCGGATTCAACAATCTTGTAATGATTTCAGGTTATTACTTTAATGCGTAAAATTAATAATTAATTAGTTATAATTAATAGAGAAATAGTCATGATTAAAATGAAATCATAATCATCATCGTTAGTCATCATCGCTCTTCATTTAAAATAAAATAGTTAATGTTAATGTGAACCCTCTTTTATTTCTAGAAAAACATGAAATATAGTAAAATGAGATAAAAGTCTAATTAAAATCTAATAAAATAAAATAAATAAATTGATTTAAATTAAATACAATAGTATTCTACGATGCTCATCATTTAATAATATTAATAATAATAATAACATTAATAATAATTACAATAATAATAATTATTCAGAAGTACCTTTCCGAATGGTTCATCTTAAGATAGTTCTTATTGTTCAGATGATCACATTCGTCTTAGCCATCATTGGTTGGTGCTTAGATTTGTTATTGTTTGTGTGCTTAGATTTGTGTACGTGTGTGTGTTTGGATTTGTATGTGAGTGTGTGTGTGTGTGTGTGTGTGTGTGTGCTGTGTGTAAATATTTTTCTTTTCGTTCATCTACTTTTTTCATTTTAAGGAGTTAAGTCCGTCTTGCCTAAGATATACAATGTCTCCAGTTAGTATTGTTATTCGTTCGTTCGTTCGTTCATTCATTCATTCATTTATTCATTCATATTTTTTTCATTCATCATTCAATCGTTCATTCATTCATATGGTTTTTCATTTAATGCATTAGCACTTAATAAAGTATATCTCATTCATTCACTTATCATTCAGTTACATGCTTTTTTATTCTTCATTTATTCATTCAATCATTCAATCATTCACTTCAATCATTCATTTTCCAGGCATTCATTTATTCATTCATTCATTCTTTTACTCATTCATTCATTCAGGTATAATGGCGTATTCGTGTACAGCAATTTGGATGGCCGACCAGTTCTACATGATATGCTGCCGAACGCATCTCTCCAAGAAAAATTGGCTCAAGTAAATTAGTGAATGCATGCATGAATGAATAAATGAATGAATGGGAGAATGAATGAGTGAATGAATGAGTGAATGAATGAATGTGGATGAATAAAGTGATGGATGGTGAATGAATGGACAGATGAGTGGAGCGATGAATGCATTGTTGGATAGTTGAATAGCCGAGTGAATGGGTGGATGGATCCGAGTGAATAAATGAATGAGTGAGTGAGTGAGTGAGTGAGTGAGTGAGTGAGTGAGTGAGTGAGTGAGTGAGTGAGTGAGTGAGTGAGTGGATGAATAATCGTTGTCATCATCACCGTCGTTATCAGGTTCTTCTACCTCTACTACTTCGCTTTCCATGCATACTGCATAAAGTTCAACAGCAGATTTCACTCACTCATCATCACAACTAGCTGGCTTCTTATGCAGGTTATGATGATGATGATGGTGGTGACGATGATGATGATGGTAAATAATAATAATAATAATAACAACAATAATAATAATAACCATTTCCACACCCAGCACTCAATGCTCTACTTCTTCCACCATTTCGAACTGCCGAACATCAGGGCCCGTATAGGGTTTGCCATCGCCCTCCTACAACTTAATAACAACAATAATAACATTATTAATAACAACAATAATAATAATAATAATAATAATAATAATAATAATAGTGACAATTACTTGTACTACGATGTTAATTACAACATTACAATTGCGTATAATGGTAATGGTGGTAATAACAACAACAATAATAACAATAATAGTATTAATAACAATAATAATAATAACATCAATAATAGTAATAATAATAGGGTAATTGATTATATTAATGATAATGATAATAATAATTATTATTATGATGATGATGATGATGATGACGATGATGATGACGTTGGTAATGATGATGGTGATGATGATAATGATAATAACAATAATATCACCGATAATGTATATAGTGATTCACATTATAGTTGAAGATTTTAGCTTTGAATGAGTGAGTGAGTGAGTGAAAGAATGAATGAACGAGTGAGTTTGTGTGAATGAATGAATAAATGAAAGACTGACTGAATGAATAAATGAAAGACTGACTGAATAAAGGACTGACTGAATGAATGAATGATTGAATTATCGGATAGATAGACGAAATGATTTAAATACGAATGGACGGATGAATTAAGAAGAGAACGAATGAATGACTTAATTATAATAATTTCAATGTAATAGTATGATAATAAACATAAATTATGATAATAAATATAAATTATTATCATCCTGACGAGGGTCCTGGTTTTGGTAGTTTAGATTTGGTCTTGCTGGATTGGCGTATATGATAACGACGATGATGATAACCAACTGTAATTTATTAACAATATTCGTTATAATTATCGATTCTGGAAGTTTGTAATTAATAATAATTGATAATTATAACGATTATTATTAATTATAAACTTCCAGAATATCAGCGTGCATATTTTCTATTACAAACCCCATTCTATTACTAAAATAACGGTTTTATGCACTGTATATATATATATATATATTATATATATATATTGTCTAATAAAATTATATTATTTGTTTGTTTATATAAATAATATATATATATATATTATTCATTTCTTTAGTCAGTCATTCGTTCGCTCATTATGGTCAATGTCAATATTTATAGATTTATAGTCTATGTATAGATAGACTGAAATATTCGTCTAAGAGATTATCAACAAATTTATTTGAAAAAGTTACGTCTGTTTTATTAATATTATTGTTATTATTATTGTTGTTGTTATTATTATTATTGTTATTATTACGAATAGACGCTTGCTGTTCCGCGCTATATAAATGAATCGCCATCGTTATTATTGTCGTCGTTGTGGTTCTTTCTCGTCTTCAGATTCGTCGGTAAACCGGTCGGTAAACTGACCGGTGCGAATACGGCGTCGGCGAAGAAAGATTCGGTCATGATATCCGACATATCGCAATTCGATAGTAGGTCGATAACATTCTGCTGCTGCTCCTCTAGACTGGTTACACTACCGTATGTGGGTGTTGTTGGTTCGTTGTCGTCGTTGTTGTTGTTGCGTTTGTAGTGGCATTTATGAGGATTGTTGTTGTTGTTGTGGAAATTGTTACGGCCATCTTGAACGGACGGGTTGAGTTTGTAGGCTGTTAGCAGTTCTTCATTCTTTAGAAGTGTAAAAGTTGCAGTAGAAAATTCAATGAGATGAAAAAATGCCATCAAACTGAATACATAATAAATATGAGTTTATACACGGCGAATGCCTTTGAATTAATGAACATCAAACAGCGTCTAAGACATATCAAATTTACAGTTTCTGCGTCTGTCAGATCCTGATTTTTAAAGAATAATAAAGAAAAATTGTTACCTCAATTTCCAACTCGGCAACTTTCCTTCTCATGTCAGCCATCTTCTGGCATTGCTCTGCATACTTTATCTTGTACATAATGACACTCTCTTCGTTCTTTCAATCAAAAAGTTAGTTTATTCATTCATTCATTCGATCGTTCATTCATTCACTCATTCATTCATTCACAAACGATATATGTCTCGTTACTACCCAACATATAGTAAGCACCCTAGAGATATTTCAAAGTGATATTGAATTCCAGACTAAATTTCACCAAAATACCTGGGTGCTGATGGAATCGATTCTCCTCAAAAGTTCCTTGTTCTCGTTAATCAGGTCATCTTCCCTTAACAAAGATGTCGATAACTTCTCCTCCAGAGTGTTTATACATTCTTTTAACTTCTTCTCTTGTCGCTTATAGACGTGGTTCTATGGGGGTTTTTAATGTAAATCTGAGTGAATTTCGAATCATTTCATCGATTTGTTAGTAAAGTTCGGGTAATTTTCATTAGTCCGTTGGTTAAATTTTAACTATTTTTTTGATTTATCAGATATTTATTTTATTGATTTGTTACTGAAATGTTTTTGCGACATGAAATGATTTTTACATTTAAAAGGAGCACACATTTCAATTTCAAAGGAGTTTAAATCTATTTTTTAAAGCAAAATTTGTAAAAGTTTAGTAATTGTTAGTAACCTCTGTCTCGAGATCAATTAATTTCTGCTTGAGTTCATTGTATTCAGATACCATGCAAGTTTCCTTAACTTTTAAAGACATGATCGTTTCTTTCAGGTCAAGTAAAGTCCGGTTTTTTATCTCGCCAGAACTTCTCGGGTTTTCGCAATCTTTTATGAATTGCTGGGTCGGTAGTTCATCAGTTGATTGAATGAATGAATGATTGATTTATTTATTTATTTATTCATTCATTCATTCATTTAAACAATCATTCATTCATTTAAACAATCATTTATTGTTTCATTAATACTACATTCGTCCAAACATTCAGTCAGATAATTTTGAAAAAAAAACACCAATACTAACAAACAATAATCATAACAATAACAAATAACAACAACAATAATAACAAAAAATATCAATAAAATAATAATAAAATAATAATAATAATAATAATAACCTGCCATTGCTTGCTTAGTTGAGTGACCTTCTGTTGAAGTTCTTTAAAGCCCAAACTGGACTCTGCCTCTCTCAGCTTACAGGCAACCAATTCCTCTTGCAACTTTTTAAATAATTCGTTGTTGTTATTGTTATTATTATTATTGTTATTGCTATTGTTGTTGTTGTTATTGTCGTCGTCGCTGTTATTGGTGTTATCAACTTTCGAATCATTCTGCATTTGATACGAAAATGGAATGATTAATAATAATAATGTTAATTTCAAAAATCGGCTTTTTACGAAGGCAGACAAGGATCTATTTGCATTCAAACTCAGTCACTACGACGCACAATACAAGCCACCTTACCACTAGACTGCCGCTACTAGCCTTAAGCTGATGTTCATTTATGACTAACATGACACCCCTGTTATTTGAATGCCTGTTGGCTTGCTCGACCAATTTTGCTAGTTCTTGGGGACTTCTGTTTCGACACTGTAAAAACAATGATAATAATAATTAACAATAATAATATTATTATTATTAATTAATAAATAATAATATTATTATTAGTATTAGTATTGCTATTATTTTTATTATTATTATTAAGAAATTATATAATAACATTTTGGCAGACAAAACTGCCAGGACTTGTGAGTTCAAACTCCTTGATGACGTCATTTAGAATGTCCGTTTGATGAGTGGTGTTGGCTAAATCCAGGTTGTTGTTACTTTTGTTGTTATTGTTGTTGCTGTTGTTGTTATTGTTGTTGTTTTTGTTGTGGTTGTTGTCCATTTCCGTTATATTGATTATGCTAGCCTGTTTGCAGCTGGTTGCGACTCGTTCGGATAGCTCTTTATTTTCCTGGAGTTAATTTTGTTAAACTTAATTTTCCGTGGAAGAAAGGAAGGGAAAATAATGAGAGAGAGAGAAGAGAGAGAGAGAATACAAATCTAATTTTGAACTAACTTTCTCTAGATTTTCCACTTTTTGCAATAGTATTATATTCTCGTTAATTAATCTCTGAAAAGTAAAACCACAAAACCAATTCGGTAATGATGATAATCTATTAAATTTTATTATACAATAATAACAATTATAGCTGACTATTATTATTATTATTATTGCAATTATTGTTTATTATTATTTATTATTTAATTATGATAAAAATAATTATGACCTTACATTAGTTTCTATGTGGAGGAAATGGTCTTTACCCTTAAGAACTGATGACGTCCTAATAAAATAATACATAAAAGTAACATTTATAATAACAATAATCAATTAATTAATCACTCACTCAATCATTCAATCAATCAATCGATCACTCAATCAATCAATCAATCAATCAATCAATCATTCATTCATTCATTCGACCAACCAATCAATCAATCAGTATAACGACTTATTGTTGATGATGAATATTTATTTACGTTACAAAACAATACGGTACTTGCATCTATCAACAGATATATATTGTAACATTATCATACCATATTGTTATTTATATTGTGTGCATATATATATCTATATATATCTGTAAATCGTCATGATAGTATCATGAATACTATCAATTATTTTATACTCCGTTAATCCGTCATAACGACAAACGTCTTTTTTCAAAATCGGAGCTGTTACACAACCACCAAACAAACACACATATCTACATATATACATACATACATACATTCATACATACATACATACATACATACATACATACATACATACATACATACATACATACATACATACATACATACATACATACATACATACATACATACATACATACATACATACATACATACATACATACATACATACATACATACATACATACATACATACATACATATATACATACAAACATACATACAAACATACATACATACATACATACATACATACATACATACATACATATATACATACAAACATACATACATACATACATACATACATACATACATACATACATACATACATACATACATGCATGCATGCATGCATACATACATACATACATACATACATACATACATACATACATACATACATACATACATACATACATACATACATACATACATACATACATACATACATACATACATACATACATACATACATACATACATACATGCATACATACAAAAATATATACATACATAAATACATGCATCCATACATCTATTTCATACCTCTATTTCTTATAATAAGGTTCCATCGCGACAAAACAATATATACTAAGTTTATACATTATTTAGACATACAAACATACATACATACATACATACATACATGCATGCATGCATACATACATACATACATACATACATACATACATAAATACATACATACAACATACATACAGGCATATATGACATCAGAACAGCGTCGTGCAATACTGTTTGCATCTATATTTAGAATTTTGGAAACTGCAGTGATGAGCCAAATCATTACCAATGTTTGCGTGCATCTTAATTATTATATTTCATTAAAAATTATGAAATAATATTTTTAAAATAATAATAATTATGATAATAATATAAATAATAATAATAGTGGTTATCAACTACGCACTTTTTGGACTTCGACATCGAGAAGAAGTTAAATCGCTTATTATTATTATCACTATTATTAATGTTATTATTATTTATGTTATTATTGTTGTTGTTGTTGTTGTTGTTACTTATTATTGTCGTTGGCTTCCCATCTGACGTCATTATGACCATGACATCGCCTCTCGCCAGTGTTGTGGTTGACTGTGACGTCATTTTTATTATGTTATTATTATTATTATTGTTGTTGGTGGTTGTTGTTGTTGTTATTGTGGTTTTTGTTCCAAGCTCTAAACGTAATGTTATCCAGGCCTAAATTTGATAACACTTATTTCTTTATTACTTAATTTAGTTATTGAAAGTAGTAGTAGTAGTAGTGGTAGTAGTAGTAGTAGTAGTAGTAGTAGTAGTAGTAGTAGTAGTAGTAGTAGTAGTAGTTGTAGTAATAGTAGTGGTAGTAGTAGTAGTAGTAGTAGTGGTAGTAGTAGTAGTAGCAGCAGCAGCAGTAGTAGTAGTAGTAGCAGCAGCAGCAGTAGTAATGGTAGTAACACTGTTTTTATTATTAATATTATTGATACATTAATACTCCAAAGTCTTATTTACAATTTCATCTTTTTATCTAGCAAAACATTTAAATAAACAACTGAACAACTGAATGAAAGAACAATGAAAAACATCAACCAATATATACATATAAATATATATATTTAGAGAGAGAGAAAGAGAGAGAGAAAAAAAGAAAGAGAATAGAAGAGAGAGAGAGAGAAATTATAGTACATACATACACGTAGATAACCTTTTCCAAAGCAACTTTACTTATAAATAAACACATGCACACACATTTGCACGCAATAACACACACAAATATATATATATATATAATGTATGCTAATTTATGCATAATTACTAGTGATACATTCATTTCGTTTTAGTTCCTACTATGTTTAGAATGAAGGAATTCAGGGAGATGGTGATGAGGTGGAGGAAGATGAAGATGAGGATGAAGATGATGATGAAGATGGTTGTTATGGTAATGATGATGATCATGGTGGTGGTGGTGGTAGTAGTAGTGGCGATGATGCTGTTTAAAAGTTATCAGGCAGCCGCTCAGACTCCTACAATTAAGTATGAGTCACACTCCCAGCTTTCCTCAATGTCTCTCATTTTCATTATTTTCTTTCTTTCTCTCTCTCTCTCTCTCTCTTAGTTTTTCTCTTTCTCTCTCTCTCTCTCTCTCTCTCTCTCTCTTAGTTTTTCTCTTTCTCTCTCTCTTTGTCTTTCTCTTTCTCTCTCTCGCTTAGGTTCAGTTAATGAAAATACTTGATAAATATTTCGGTAACAAGTTAAATAGTGCTTTGTACCAGAGCAGACGAATTAGATGACAGCAGATCCAACGTAAAGTGATTAATTAAGCATCGGGACGGTGTAATTGACTAGAAACGTCTGCTCCTACTACTGCATGGACCTTATCCACTTGTTTCAGTTGCAGTTCTTTTCGTTGTGATGTTTGAATGCCGTATGTTAACACGCCCTGTGGGCTTGGGCTGTTGCTTCTAGGTCTGAAGATTAATTACGAGATCATTAATAATATAATTAATAATAAATAATAATAATAATAATAATAAGAGCAAATATTAAAGTTTGAACTACGACTACCGAAAATTCTTCTAAACCGTAAGACGATCAATGACAGCTAGCGAACGAAGTGTCAAAAATTAATTCGATTGAGAAGATTTTTTTTCTGTAAATAATAATAATAAATAATAATAATAAATAATAATAATAATTAATGACAACAATATTAATTAATTAATAATATTAATAATTAATATTAATACTCGATTGATTTTATGAATCAATCATTCAATCGACCAACACCAATCCATCAATTGACTGATTGATAAAGCACTATTATTATTATTATCATATTATATAATAATAATAATTATTATTATTATTATATTATTATTATTATTATTATTAATATAATTAATTGTTAATTTGAATGCGGCGACATTTTTTATACGTTGTTAATGGTTGTTTAATTTAATAAATTTTTCAGGAAATATTTTTATCCATCTAATTTGACGTCATTTCTTCTTTTCCTTTCCTCTCTCCTTTTTCCTGTCTTTCTCTCTTTTCATTTCTTTCCTTCTCTCCCTTTCTCTCTTTCATTTTTTTCTTTTGCGATCCATCCATCCATCTATCTATCTATCTAATCTATTATCTATCTATCAT